TCTAGCAACCGTTCCTTATATGTTTTAGCCTCCAGTCCCCTAATCATCTTTGTTGCTCTTCTCTGTACTCTTTCTAGAGTCTCAACATCTTTTTTACATCGTGGTGACCAAAACTGGATGCAGTATTCCAGTGTGGCCTTACCAAGGCATTGAAGAGTGGTATTAATACTTCACGTGATCTTGATTCTATCCCTCTGTTAATGCAGCCTAGCACTGTGTTGGCCTTTTTGGCAGCTGCAGCACACTGCTGGCTCATATTTAAGTGATTGTCTACTAGGACTCCGAGGTCCCTCTCACAGTTACTACTATTGAGCATGGTGCCACCTATGCTGTACTTGTGCATTTGGTTTTTCTTGCCTAAATGTAGAACCTTGCTTTTTTCACCATTGAATTTCATTTTGTTAGTTAGTGCCCAGTGTTCAAGTCTGTCCAGATCCTTCTGTATCTGAAGCCTGTCTTCTGGAGTGTTGGCTATTCCTGCCAGCTTGGTGTCATCTGCAAATTTGATGAGTTCCCCATCTATCCCTTCATCCAAATCGTTGATGAAGATGTTGAAGAGTACTGGGCCCAGAACAGAGCCCTGGGGCACCCCACTACACACTTCCCTCCATATAGATGCAGTTCCATTGAGAACCACTCGCTGAGTACGGCCGGTCAGCCAGCTACGGATCCATCTGGTGGTGGTTCTGTCTACCCCACATTTTTCTATCTTGTCAAGTAGTAGGTTGTGATCTACTTTATTTACTTTATATATACAGACATCCTTGTCACTGTAGTTCTGGAACTATGAGTTATTTATTCAAGCACACTAAAGATTCCATACTCACAACTTTGAGGATTGGAGACTTGTATTGTCCCAAGAAAAAAAAGCATTTGAAAATAGATTCTACATAACGTGTAGTGCTAATATGACAAAATTCATATTGCACTATTGTGATTTTTCAGTTTTTTCTACTGGGATTGTAAAAGTGGATGACAGTTATCCTATTGGAACGGTTAATTAAGAGGAAATCTCAGAATACTAGTGTCAAATGAAATATAGTGCTATTATCTTCTTTGGTATTAAATCTGTTAAATATACATTTTGAAGTAAACTTTGTTTTTGTATATTCTTAGATTTTATAGAAAGAAGATGGTTATTCAAATATCAAAGGAAGGAATCATATCTAATAATATAGAAGGAAAGAAATATTGTCAAAAAGAAACATTCTTTCAAAAATTAGGGAGGGAATGTTAGGAACTGTCAAGCTCATAAGTTCTTCTTCATGTGAGAAACTATGCACATATCGTATAACACTAAAAGTATAATTTCCAGCCTTGTTCATTTTTATAGGTACTGTAATCAGTTTTAAGTATTCGCAAAAACATATCAGGGCATTTCATAAGCAAAATTAATTAAAAACCAAACAAGAAAAACTTCGTGGCTCAATTTACATTGCATTTCAAGGCTGCAATCTTATGCAAATTCAACTCAACTCAATGGAGTAGGTTTGAACAAACATGCATTGGACTACACTATAAGCAAATAGCTATCTTTTCATACTAGTAAACCAACAAAAAATCATCAAGAAAGAAGTGACGCAGACTTATTACTCAGTAACCAGTATAAAGTATTAAAATCACTTATAATTTTAGTATCAATTTGTGGTCACGCTTGTGATTTTTGAAATGTCTTAGAATAAAAAATGTATTTTGGAAATATACATATTTTTAAAATAAAGCAAGGTAACTACTACTGGCATTTAATGTTTTGCATGAACTACAGAATCTATGGGAAATCATTCTTGATAAATTATAATTTCATGAGCACCACTGGAAATAGGAATATGGGAATCAAATACATGAATTATTTGCATTAAAATATGTATATGGGAGCAGTCTTTTTGTAAGAGTTTACATTCTGGGAATGTCAAATTAACTTCCCAAAGATGCTATGCATATTCTGTATGGTGTCAATTATAGTGCAAATTTCTGGTTATACTTTTAATTTTCTTTTGAAGAGATTAATTTAACATGATGCTTAATGAAGCTTTTAGGACTGTCAACTGAATTAGAGTATAATAATTTAAGTTGTTAATTATATTTCTATTTTGGCTACTTCATTTATTTGAGATTTTACTTTATTTTCTATAATAAACTTATCAAAACACATTTAAAAGTTACACGTTAAACCAATATGCCAGTGAAAAATAGAATTGAAATTGTTTATAACAATTAGCTGTTTCCTTATTGAAAAAGGACAATTTTTCTCTATAATACAAATGTTTATTACATATATGGGAACAAGAGGAGAAAAATATAGGGCAAGAGCAATATATTCTCAAATAATTTCTAGACCATGTTTTAGATTGATATTTTAATAATTAATGATTAGGCTATTAATTTCATTCATTATGTTATCAACTTTAGCCTCATAAGGAAAACAGCCATATCAAGCAAAAGACTCACAGCTGATCCTATGTTTTCAATATGTTGGTGGATAGAGGTAAATTACAATTTCTCAGCTGAAAAATGGAACAGCTACAATTCAGTAGTTTTCAGTTCTCAAAATGACACTGACTCATGTAAGTGATATATTTACCACCATAATTTGGAATACCACTAGCAGTACCTTTCTGCCAACAGAACATAACTATCTTGTCTGGAGATCCCTTCTATCTAAGAGGCAGCTTTGTCTCTTCCTACTTTTTCTCAACTAGTAGATCTGAGCTATCCCAAGCCTGTCTTACCGATAGATGCTATGTCCAAAGTATGACATACTTTTATGCTATTTAAAATTTTAAAAGATACAGCTTTTACATAGTTTCAAGGTATCTTTTTATATGATAGTGATATGTAGCTAGTGCTGTTCGAAGATTTAAACTTAAAACTTCATAACACATCCAAATTTTTTGGCCACTTGTAAAAATCAAGAATGCAATCAAATACAGGTATCTTATAAGAACTACTGTCCCAAAGTAAGAAATGCAATTATATTCCACTGTTGCATTATTACCAGTAAGCAAATACAAAACTGGGGCATTGTAGCTAAATTATACTGATTTTAAGCAACAGCATCTTAATTCTTAATGCTGTTATATTTGGCAACAGTAATTCAATGAAAGTGAATCCATCCTGACAGGCAGACTGCCAATATGCAGCAATAATGCATTTTGTAATTTAAGACTTAAGTTCACCAAAAGGAAAAGTGGTAGTGCAACTGTGAATTTCCAAATTGTAAATTTGTAATTCTCAAACTTTATTGCAATAAAAGTGTATTATATTAATGAAATTTCTGTAACTTTCATATATTTCATATTATTATAAAAGCATAATTTTGTGGAACTTGACTAATTCACATTATTGAAAATTCAAACTTTTCTTGAATTAAAAGAATGTCATTTTCTACATAAAATATTAATTTAGCACAATATAAATTCTAAAACTATCATATTCTTAGATTTTGAAGGCTTTTTAAAAGAAAAAAAAAGGATAAAAGGTTACATTCCATCAACTTGTTAGAGAGTAGATCCTAAAAACATATTTTTAGTTTGGGCAGAAATATTTTTATGAGGCCATTTCAAATTATGGACGCTAGCCAGCCCAGAGTTTAAAAAATTCCAAATATCTAAATGCCAGTTTTCAATATTGATATCAATGAAACTTAATACAAGTTAAATGCATATACGATTGCAGCCTAAAGAATCTTCTAACCTAAACCTTATGTGGTCAGTTATTTGAGATAAGCAAGAGTGTTTTGTTCTTAAAGTGGCTCAATATGTTTTAGATAACAACTATGAACTGAATATTCACAGCAAGCAAATCATCAACAAAGTATTTTTATATATCACTTTCTACCCAAAACACCAGAAGCATTACAAAAATGACAATTCAAACATTTGCTTCATTTTTGCACCATATATTGCCACACTTAAAAAGCATCCTTAAATCTTACTCTTCAGCCTTCAGAGCATGCCAGTCCACCTTCTGAAGTCATAAGAATTTAGAAGAGCAAATATTACTTTGTTTAACCTGTCACATCAGCATCTACAATTTTCTTTCTACCTAAAGATTAAATATGAAATTGCATAACCTAATTCATTTCATTTTATTTAACTGTCTACATTATTCTGTGAGTGCGTGCGCATGCACTATCACACACAGAAACAATGGTATCTACATACAGTTTTACACAAATATTTACATACATGTATTATACACAAACTAATGTGATTCCATGATTTTTAGTAGAAAGGCATATGCTTTTGTAGCATATACAATTGTTGCACTAGTTTTACAAGAGCATTATAAACCTTTTGCAACAATTAGTAAAGCACAATTCAACCAGAATGTTATAGATTGTATATAAAAAATACAATACCTAGAATGCTTATCAAACAAATAATGCTTTATTGGCATCTAAAAAAACATTTAAAATGTATGTTATTTTTTAACTCATTGCAGTACGAGGAGGACAGATCATGGACACTTGTAATTGAGAAACAGAGACTATAATGCAGAAATTTCAAAAATACACCATCTCTGAATCATTTATGCTCCTTTTCTGGGCCAAACTGAGGGAACATTTAGTATCACAGCTCTGCCTACGTTTTAAAAATTTCCACCAGCCTAGAAATCTGGATAAGATATACCAGCGCCTGTTTTCAAGTATAACAATTTCTATGGCCAACCTAATAGCATCTAAAAAAATCAAGTTCTTCCATAGGAAGTCTTTTTCTTTGTTTGACAAGCTGTAATTTATCCTTCTGAAGTAAAAGCAAGTGGGGAAAGTTTGTGTTTTGCCAGGAAAAAAGAAAAAAGAAAAGAAAGACAAACTTCACCTACCATGTTCAAATTAAAAACAATATTCTATACAAGTCAGTTGTACAACTATTTAAGTGAAAGATGAACGTGAATATTAGATTAACTTAATTCTGGAAGAAAAAAAATGAACTAAGGTCCAGTCAGCCATTCATCTATTACAGAGAGAGATGACAACTTTACAAAAGGTATCTTTTTACCTACTGAGTGATGATTATGTCCCCTCAGTTTCTGTGCTTTCTACCACTGGTTCAGTTTCTAATTCAGCTTCTGTGTCACTCTTCTCTTTTTTTGTCTCATTTGAAGTCGCCAACTTTTCATAAAGTTCCAATTCATCCTGCACTTGCACAGCAGATGGCTGATTCACTGTCTCTGTGTTTTCACCATTAACTTGGGGAACACTATCAACTTTTTGTTGAGAAGCACCACCTTCAAAATATTCAAACGCTCTTGGATGCGGAGGGGGTATCCAGTTGTTCTGTGTTCTCTCTCTCCCAAATCTGTTTCCGTTAATTTCTCTACCAAAATTAAAATCTCTATCATCCCTGTCCCTTTGCCTTTCCCATGGTCTACGACGGTCATCAAAGTCTCTGTGAGCATCTTGTTCAAGTCCTCTGTTCCAGGTAGGACCACTTCGAATTTCAAATCTGTAGTTTGTTTGCCGGTATCTGTCTCGAGCTTCCTGGAACCCTTTGAGACTACCATATACAGGAAAGGTCTGATGTTCTCTTTCATCATAATCTCCTCTTTGACCCCAGTGTTTTTCTGAGTTGAAAGCAAAATGCTCTCTCCTTAGATTATCAATACCTGGCCTTCCAAAGTTCTCCCGCAAATCTATATGTGGTCTGAGAAGATGTTCTCTTCCATCCATAGGAGGTCGACCTAGACCTTCTCTTGGATCTAGGGGTGGCCTTCCAACAGAATCCCTTATATCTACTGAAGATGTTCGATCTCTACTTTCCATTGGAGGAAAGCGATAGTCTCTATCTCCTTCTTGTTGAATGCTATCTTCCCCAACAGGCAATCTTTTATCTGGGTTAGAAATATCCATATTGTGCCTACCAGAAGTTACAAATGGCCTCTCTGTTTGAGTAAAAATATCTCCTGGAAGGAAAGGAACTCTAGGTGGAGGAAGGGATGGATCAAGTATAGTTGGAGGAGGAACTGTACGTTGTGGTGGCATCCCAGGTTGCAGTAGTGGAAATCTAGCACCAGGTGGTTGTGGTATTAATCCCGATCGGATTTCTACTAGAGAAATTCCAGGCAACCGTTGACTAGCAATAGTTAAATGGGGCAAATTTTGAATTCCAGTGGGTGGTTGTAGTCCTAATAGTCCAGAACCACCTGAAATATTTGGTGGTGGTAATCCTAACAGTCCAGAACTACTTGAAACCATTGGTGGTGGCAATCCTAAAATTGCAGAATTGCTTGATACAATGGGTGGTTGGAGTGCTGTCAAAAGCCCAGAACTATTTGATACAATGGGTGGCTGGATTCCTGACAAACGTCCAGTATTATTTGAGACTATGGGTGGTTGGATACCCATTAAAAGGCTGGAGCTGCTTGAAACATTTATCGTCTGAAGTCCTGACAAAAGCCCAGAGCTACTTGAGACACTTGGAGCCTGAACACCTGTTATAAGACCAGAGCTATTTGAAGCAGTGGGTGGTTGAATTCTTGTCAAAAGTCCAGAGCTGCTTGAGACACTGACTGGCTGCACAAGTCCAGCACTACTTGAGACATGTGGTGGCTGAATTCCCCCTACATGCCCAGAACTGGTTGTGATACCAGATGGCTGTACTCCCTCGGTAAGTCCAGAACTGCTTGAAACATCATCTTGAACTGAAATACAAAAACTCAAATCAGTAAATTAAAACAACCATGCCTAATACTTTTAATAGTTTAATTATAAACTAAATTCAACATCTACAGGTTGGCTTTTGATTATAATCTGCAACAATATCTATTTAAGGAAAAGTAAACAGTATCTCTTACTGAAGAATAGCTTATAAAATAAATGTTTAGAAAAATTGTACGCCTTTAAAGTACTTTATCTAGAAAGTTATAGAAAAGTTTAAAAAATAGTACTAGGATTTAGCATATCATTTTCCTGTCTTCCTGTATATTTGAGTGGATAGAAACTATAAAAATTACGCTAAAAGTTTTAAAATTATTTGTATGGTATTAATATTAATACAATTCAGATTAAATAAACAAAAAAGTATTGTGGCAATATAATGAGTGAACAACAAATCTTATTAAAAACTGACTACTGTTGGAAAAACACAGAAATTATATTGCAATTGGCCTAATAAACAACTCTAGTTATTCTGATCCTATTATCTATCCTTCTAGTATAAATGTATGTAGGCATGTATATATGTCTGTCTTTATTTAGCTCTTAGGAACAAGTAAGCTCATTATTCTCCCAAAAGCTGTATCTGATACACATATGAAGTCTTGAAAGTTATGACATTCCTATTCTAAGCATATATGTGTATGTATGTACACATGCATTTGTCATGGTCATGCAGATGCAAGCACTCATATAGTCCTCCCAAAAGGTTTTATAATGCTACTTACCAGTTCTGTTTTCCGTAGAAGAGGTTGGAAGATCAGCACGAAGAGATCCTTTTTCATCCAATTCTGAACTGTTATTTGAAAGAGAAGAAAAGACACTTCCGGCAGATAATGTTGATGTCGTAAGACTACTAGAAACCGTACCACCTGGTAGAACAAGGCTGCTAAAATCTTTCATTGATTCTTGAGCAATAGTCAGCGACGGCTGTACAAGAGCTGTAAAACAATACACATGCACATTAATGCTTGTGCAAATCTATACAAGTCTTTTTAAAAGAAACCACCAGTATGTTAATCAAAATCTTTCTACTTAATGTATAAACAAGTCACCACGAATAAGAGAGAAACAACTTAGAACTAAGGAGAAATTCCCTGATAGTTAGAACAATTAACCAGTGGAACAACCTGTCTCCAGAAGCTGTGAATGCTCCAACACTGGAAGTTTTTAAGAAGAGACTGGACAGCCATTTGTCTGAAACGGTATAGGGTTTCCTACCTGAGCAGGGGGTTGGACTAGATCAGAGGTCCCCAACCTTTTGGGCATAAGGGACTGGTTCTGTGGAGAAAGATTTTTCCACGGACTGGAAAGTGCGTAGTTTTATATGCTGCCTGCATCCCACAGATGGGGCTTTACTTGTTTGTGCAGACCAGTTGTTAGCTTGCCACGGCCTGGTACTGGTCCACCGACCAGAGGTTGGGGAACCCTGGACTACATGACCTCCAAGATCCCTTCCAAATTTATTATTAAGTTAAAAGTATAATCTTTAAAACATCCAAAGTGAAGAAAGCTATTAGAAAATCCATCAAAATTATACAGTTGGATTATAATTAAAAAAGATTCTAATCGTTACTCATCAATAAATACAATCTATTACCTATTAATTTGGGGCAGTTAATACAAATAGTGCAGCTTTCAAAAAGGATGAGCCTCTTGGGATCAGATAGAAGAGGGTTCAGTTATGTGCCTGTCATTCTGCCTAATATTAACTGTTGTTTTAAGAAAGAATTGAGTTCATAGAATAAGTGGATGGTCTCTGTTTAATTCATTTTATGGGCAGAAATGCCAAAATCTGTCTGTAGGAGGCACTACCATGCTTTAAGCACAAGCACTGTTAAGCTGACATTATTCAAGTGCAAAGACTTGATCTAAGTCCCACTCTGGTAGAGTACAGAAATGAAGTTTAGATCTGCATGATTTAAGCTTCTTTTCTGCACACACCAGAGAAATTCTCTTCCATGCACCAAGGAGAGCTGACATCTGTCCAAGGGGTGCAGAAACAGAGCATAGATCAGTGGTGGCGAACCTATGGCATGTGTACCAGAGGCAGCACTCGGAGCCCTCTCTGTGGGCACACGCACCGTCGCCCCAGCCCCGCCTCCTTCCATGGCCCCCTCCTCACCAGCAGCCCTCCGGAGGAGAGTCGCCCCTGGGCACGGCCCACACAATGCTGTGCAGCCAAGGACATGGTAGCTGGGCAGTGGGGGCAAGACTCAGCTCTTGCACCCCATTGCGCAGATAATGCTGCAGGGTACGGGTGGAGGGCATGGCCACCAGGCGCTGCTGGGCTGCCTGGGTGATCTGTGGTGGGTGGTCCAGCGGGCACGGCGGAGCGGGGACAGGGGTGGGTGGTTTTTGGGCACTTGGTCTCTAAAAGGTTCACCATCACTGGCTTAGATCTTCATGATTTAAGCTGCTTTTTCTGCATCCCATGAAAAGATGTCAGCTCCCCTCAGCCAGCAGCTCTTTCAGTCAGTCCCCAAAGATTGAGAGGGAGTCCTCTCAGCAGCAGTAGCAGACTTCCTGGGCAAGCCAATACAGAAGATTGCAAATGACAATCACATGATCACAGGGCACTAGACAACTGGTTGTAACTACTCACTTAATGACTGCATTGCTTTGTGACAGAAGTTCCAGTCCAAACTGTAGTTGTGAATGACTTCCTACACAAAGAAATGTTATCTACATGCAAAACCCATAATTTCTGGATTCCTATGTTTTCCAGTCTAACCCTAAACCTAATTGGAAGTCGTACACAGAACAGGACTGTTTATATAGTTCTTGATAATGTCTGTACAGGTGCCATCCTACCTAATATAGGTAAACCTGGCCACTTATTCAAGAGTAGCAGGAACTCAGTTCTAAGCTTTATAATGTTATTTATAAAAATAAATCCAATTCCACCAAACTTTTTTTTCTAACTGTGACAGTTTTATTGGAATCCTATGAAAGAAAAATTAAAAACAGCTTACATGTTGGGACTACAGGTGGTGGAACAGGTGGCGGAACAGGTGGAGGCATGAAACCTAGAAGAAACAAAGAATAAATATTAATAAACAAATCTATTAAAGTTTATGAAAAATAACAAGAGCTAAATTCTTAACTGAATTATAAATATGTTCAAGCATTCATTATCTAATTCAAGAAAGTGTTGTAATTAAATGCACACATACAGATATATATATGGAAATAAGATCCACTGAATTAAATAAGGTTTACTGCCACTTCACTGTGCAAATAGATGACTACAGATTAAATTAATATTTTAAAAATAAGTAGTGATAGATTCATAAAGCTGAAGGACTCCTTAAGCCACTGAAGCCAAGTCCTTGTTCACAATTTTGGGCCCTGCTTTGCAAAGAGGGAACCAAAGCTTTTCTGGCTAATTATGCAAAATTCTCAGCAAATGTAAACTTAAGAGAAATAAACAAATAACAATGCCAATGCACTTTGATGTTTATGTTATAGAATGGAAAGATAACTTTACCAGGAGGTGGTTGTGAAGGATTAAAGCTTGCTCTCAAGAATGGAGGCGGAGGAATTCCACTGTAACCAGGTGGAGGGACAGACATTGTAACAGGAAATGCAGGTGGAACTAAATTAACAGTCGGCACAGTTGGCGCTACAGGAATCTGTTATAATGAGAAAAATAGTCCTGGTGATCTTTAATCCATACATATTTATGAAAGAAAATTTTAAAATTGTACCCCTGTAAATTGGCCTTTTTGGCCTATTCTGCTGTTGAATTACAGCTATGGAATGAAGGAGGTACCCTGGGAGTCCCAAATAAGGACATTTAAAGCTTGCAAGTTATCACAGAAAAGCATATAGCAGGCGTCTTCAAACTTGGCCCTTTTATGACTTGTGGACTGCTGAGGAATTCTGGGAGTTGAAGTCCACAAGTCATAAAAGGGCCAAGTCTGAAGACCCCTGGCATATAAAAAGGGCAATATAGTATTACTTCTGTCTTTTCAATGTAGAAACAGTTCTGTCTCTTTAAATTCAAACTCAGTCTTTTAATAGTTGACCAACAAATGAACTTCTAGAAAGTCCAGATGACTACTTTTCATTTTCTTTTCAAATTCTCTCTCTCCTATCAGTAAACTGAACGCTTGCCAGTTAATTCCCAAAATAACTCCAGGCCAATTTAAATATTTTTAATTTTTACTTATTGCATTTTTTTAAACTGTTCATTTTCTTCATAGGGTGATTTACTATAGGGAAGAAAATCATTCCCAGAGTTTTGCTGCCTCTTACTTTTGCTTATTGAGGTAATTTTTTACTACATACTTATTGGGAGCCACCTTAGGAAGCAACCAACATGAGACGTCCCTGAGATGTCTGAGTGGAGTTCTTCGTTCTATGGGTTAAACCAACATGTTTTTTGTTTTGTGCATACTTAACTTCAGAGAGTTTTTCACAATAAAAGGAAAAAAAAATATCTTAAGTTGCAGAAGGTACGAGAAGATATGATATGCATCTGACACAAAAGTAGGTTTATCAATTGAATCAATAATCTGAATTGTCCTTTAAATACTAGAAGAAAAGTGTGGGCAGAAAATGGAATACAATACTAACCTGTAACATAGTGACAGATTGTTTATAAGTTTCTGCCTGTGTTGTGACAACTGTGGTTTTCTCAACAGTTGCACTCTGGGTTATCTGCACACTCTCTTTTACAGTCTCTGAAGTCCTTGTAGTTTCCCATTCTAAAGAAACAACAACTGATCAGTGTTTTGAAAAGCGTATTAGAAGAAAACAAGCATTTGCTTCACTAACTATGATACCTACATTTTCACAATGAGTGGAGATTGAAAAATATATTTTAAAAAACTATCTGAATGGTACATTCCCAGATTGTTTTATGTAGAACAAGGGGTTTTTTTTGGGGGGGGGGAGGGTATTTTGTGGTTCTTGAAATTTACAACCTTGGATTAATGTTTGCTCCGTTTCTAACAGTGTAACAGAAAAACCGATCAATATTACTGTGTTTAGTCAAGCTTTAACGCTGTGTTTAAAAACTATATTATTTTTTTTAATACACACACACACACACACACAGAGAGAGAGAGAGAGAGAGAGAGAGAGAGAGAGAGAGAGAGATAAGGTTTTTCAGACAGACCGGTCTGATTGATTGCACCTTGACATTTTGACTGTTATACTGCAGTTCTACTTTTTTTATAACCTCTTTAACTCTTGTCAGCAAAAAGAAATCTGAATTTGTAATGTACCGCAGTTGCAACTTGAACCTGCTTAATGCCCCTAGTTGGGGGGCTGCAAGACAAAAGAGATTATAAAAAAAAGTAGAACTGCGGTATAGCAGTCAAAATGCCAAGTTGCAATCAGACAGGTCTGAAAAACTTTCTGTATATACTCCCTTGACTCAGATGACAAAGAGGGGAGGAGATCCAGTGGCCTTGATCAGCCCTATGCGCACACAAGAGGCGGCAAGTGCACGGGGGCCGGCAGCAGCCACAGCCCACTTGGCCCAAGGGCAGAAGCACAGGAGGCAGGCAGGCAATCTGGACGTGCTGCGTGACCGCCTGGCTCACGGGAGGCTCAAGTGGTGGCGCTGGCAGCAAGCGGAGACAGAGGCATGCGATCCAACCATGCTGCGTGACCATCTGGCTCGCACAAGGCTCACACGGCAGCACCAGCAGCAGGCGGAGCAGAGGCACCTCTGCCTGTTGCAGCTGTGTGAGCCTTCCGGCTGCGCAGCATGTCTGGATCACCTGCCCCCCCCGGCTTTGCCTCCATGCTTGGACTTACCTGTGCTGTGCGGGCCTTGCTGCACACTGTCAGCCCCTGCATGCTTGCCGCCTCTTGTGCTGGCCAAGCCCACCCCCCTGGGCTTATTTTGGAGGGGTACAGCTTATACTAGGAGCATGCTAAAAAAATCAGGCTAGGGCTTATTTTCTGGGTGGGTCTTATTTTGGGGGAAATGCAACATTATTAGATATGTACAATATTTGAATCTAAAGCACCTCTGGGAGATTTCGATCTGAGTATTTCATAATATATTTTCGTCCTATTTTTCTTTTCTTTGTATGCTTTTCCTATTTCTTTCTGTGTATCAAATTAAACTAAACCAAACCACACATTTTTTTGGCAAAACATTATTTTGTAAGTAGCAATTGATTTTTCCTATTTACAAATTTTCTACAATTTTGGACAAAGGATATATCTACATTAAATCTTAAATATTATATCACATGAGATTTATTTAATTAATAAATACATTTCCTTTGGAAATGAAATAATTAGTACATAAGTTTATTTACTAAATAAGTAAGTAAGTTTATTTAAATAAATAATTTCCAAATTTCCTTTGGAAACTAGCATATATCCTAGTTGAAGACAGAAATTTTCTAGACATGTCACAAACTGGAACTCTGTGATTCAGCTTGACTGCCAACAGTCGGCCTATCTTTTACATAGCCTGAGAGGAACAACATTTGGAGTGCCTTTTTAGATTACTGGAAACACATTTCTCTGGAACAAAATATGAAAAAATGAAACTAAAGTTTTAATACGAAGTATTTTAAATTGTCCTTACCACTATTTACTGTTTCCTGGTCAATCATGCCTCCTTCTGCAAAGCCATCTAAATCATCCACCTTAACTTTTTCCCAGGGTATATATGATACTCCGAGATCCACATCCCAAAACTGTTTGTATTCAGTTTTCACTCCTTTATTTAAAGCCCATGCAATCTGAAAATAAAGCAAATTCAGTGGTGTTGGAAACAAAAATGCAATAATCTCTACAATCACAGCATTCTGTTTATTTTTACAGTTTGATCAACAATTCATTTGTTGAACAAGACATACTTGCAAAACAGAGAAATGCAGTGTTCAAATATGTTGTAATGATATCTTTTGATATTAAAAGATTATTTCCTTATCATGAAATTTCCTTCTTTTTATAGGAAAGGAGATATCAAAGTCATGTAGCACAGAAAAACATAGACGATGTGTTGATCTATCAAGAATCTTCCTTGCTTGTCTTAAATTCTTCCAATATGTCAGCTTTTTCTGATATAAATGCATCAGTATTTTAAAGTTCTCAGTCCCAAAGAATATGGACATTATTCTTCCCAATGTCAGGCTTACTGTTTACCCTAAACTTCTAATTATGTTCTACTATTTTACAGGACAGTTTTTTTCCCTTCTAATAATCAGGCAATAAATATTTTGAACTCATTTTAATTTTTTCCTTTTCTATTTTTGGATAATATTTCCATTTAATAGGAGATTAAAATGTGTTCTTCAGATGAATTCTTTAACACACACGTTAAATTTCGGCTGACCGGGTACATCATAAAAAACATTTACATATACGTACGTACGTACATATATAGGAATCTATATATAGATTATAGAATATAATCTAGAAACTTATTTATTATATTTGTATCCTGCCACAATCCCCTAAGAGAGACAAAAGTAGGAATACTTTGTATTTCTTATTGCTCTGGAATAAGCTTGAACTTGGACAGCTAATTGTGCTTTGTTTGTTTCACTATTCATCTTTAACCTATGCTCCAGGTATCATTCCTGCTGCTTCATCTTCCAGAGGACCACTAAAAACCAAGAGGTTGCCTGGATCAGCCAGTGGAATGAGGCCATTCAGGAGCAAAAGTCTGAGTCATTTCTTGCAAGTGGTAAAGTAGGCAGTTAACTGATGGATTCACCAATCTAGCAGACAAGCCAAATGGACCTGACCCTATGGGTAACATAGGCTGCTGATTTAACTATAACAAAGGGGTAATGGTAATACCTTCCATATCCTTCAGATCATAAGACAATTGCTCTAAAGCAAAAATTAGACCTAATTCATGCCCACCTATGTATGCAGATCTTCATGAAACTCCTAGGCTTTCCCAGCATTCATTGTATGGAGGTTAAAATCCCCAAATACCCATAGGGAGGAAACTCAATCTTCAACCCAACAACCAGGCCCAGGAAACTTGGGAAAGATCCAGATAGACAGCAGAGCCACTGGTATAGCAACAGTACCCCTAGTTTGTCCTTAGGCCCAACTTAACATCCTGCAACATTCAAAATAACGATCCGGGTCACAGATAAGGTCTTATAATATATCAACATCACCCCATCTCCCTGACCCTGATACTCAAGACTGGGGCAGGACCCAAAACCTGATTGGGCAAATTTTTGAAAGAAGGATATTGCTCCTTTCATGCAGTTAGGCATGAGTAACACACATCTGATCTAGTCTGTCGGTCACCAAATCATGAACTGACACCGCTTTATTATAGACAGATCTGCTGTTTACCAGGAACACTATGAGGCTAGATACTCTGAAAATATGACCATGAGGTCCCCAGCATGGAGCTACTGGACTGGAAAAAAAGAGATCACCACAAATCATCTGTCCCCTGAAATAATCAACCCAATGCCTTCCATCATATTTCCCCTAGATGAAAACATTGGTACTTGCCATATGTATTCTGTACTCTTCCCATTCAACCATCCTGTTCATCTAAGGCAGGGGCCTCCAACCCCCGGTCCGTGGACCAGTACCGGGCCGCAGCATGCCAACAACCGGTCCGCACAAAGCCCCATCCATGAAATGCAGGCAGCACTCAAAACCACGCACTCTATGGTCTGTGGAAAAACCTTTCTCCATGGAATCACTCACTGGTGCCCAAAAGGCTGGGGACCTCTGATCTAAGGCAAGCATTGATTTTACCCCAATTCTCACTAACCCTCTTTCTTACCCAACCTATGCTTGGAGTTAACAATCTGGCAAATCACTCAGCCCACCTCTTTGCCAAACCCTACTTACATGACACTCAATACATCCCAATTTCCAATAATGTCCAACACATTCAACTCCCTTCTACATGATTTGTAGATAAGTACAGTGGACGGAGACTTTTCCATTGGTCTGGACATTACTTCTTCACCTCCTGGTGCACATTCTTCTATTACTATTACTTAGGTTTATGTTCCACCATTTTTGCAAACTGATCATCATCCTATTATAACAACCATATGAAATAGGATGAGAAACACAAGAAACACTAGCTCAAATCAACCAGTGAGTTTCTATGGCTCAGCATGGATTTGAATCTTGCTATCCCCAGTTCTAGTCCAAAATCTTAAGCACTAACAGTGGCTTTCCTTCATTATATACAAAAGCACATGATTATGACAATAAACTACAATTCATACTACAGATAAACAGGACCACTGAAACTGTACCTTAATAATTTTAGATCCAATTTTGTAAGATCCAGAGCTTAATTTCTGAAGAGCACGATAAGCATCTTGCCTATGAACCATACAGACATATGCACAACCTCTGGGAGGGATCATCTATAAAATAAAAACAAAACAAAGGAACAAGTAAAATTAAAACAAAAATTAATAACTGAGTTTCAGAAACATTTCTTACAATAATGAATACTAGCAATCCCAATTTATATTTTTTTATATTTTTTTTATGTCATAACCCATGCCATTCTAAATGATTTCCTGAAATTCAGGTGAAATGTTTTAAGAGGCACAAATGGAGTAACAAAAATATCTTATGTGAACGTAATTTATATTTCTCTGAATCCAGCCACACAACCTCTAGGTACTTTTATTTTAAAGTAAATAATGTAAAACTTCCTCTTATGTAAATTAAACAATTTATGAAAACTCAAAATTACCATTCTTTTTAAAAATTACAGATTATTTTACTTACATTTATAGATTCTATTTGTCCAAATTCTTCAAATAAATTGGTTAAATCTTGCTGGGTGGCCTTCTTGTCCACTTGACCAACCCAAAGCGTGGTACTGCAGACTGCCACAACAAATTATAATGACAAAGGTTTATATTTTATTCATATCATTTGACATTTATCATCACTACAATCTTTTACTGTCACAGAATGAAAGATAAGCTGAAACAATTTACAACTTGCCTATATGTAGAAATCAATACAATTATTTAAATTAAATCAGTGAAAGTGGAAAACCATCTTCCAAGAAATGAATAGCAGGATAGCAAAATCCTGAAATACTAACTTTTTATGAAAGCTACATATAAATAAGAATATTTTAATATACATTAAAAAGGAAAGACATGGTAAGAATATAGAAATATTGTGGATTTGGTTATTTCTAATGCAGTGATTAACAAAAGAATCAAAATCAATACTCGAATAGAAGTATGTTTGAAATAGCAGGTAGTAGCTTCCTGCTTCCTCTTAGAAACCAATTTATTATCTTCCAAACTTTTCTTGAAGCTCTTACAACAAATTATGGAGAGAAGAATACAACTCCTGTCCCCACGTTACAGAAAAAAAATAGCAAAAAATATTAATAAGAATATGGGAAGTTAAAGTGAACGTACCACTGAACCAGACATCCTAGAATGTGAAGTGAAATGGGCCTTAGAAAATCTGAGCAACAACAAAGCTAGTGGAGGTGACAGTATTCCAGATGAGCTATTCAAAATCTTAAAAGACGATGCAGTAAAAGTGCTACATTCAATTTGCCAGCAAATTTGGAAAACTCAACAGTGGCCACAGGATTGGAAAAGGTCAGTTTACATTCCAATTCCAAAGAAAGGCAATGCCAAAGAATGTTCAAACTATCGCACCATTGAACTCATTTCACATGCTAGTAAAGTTATGCTTAAAATCCTACAAGCTAGACTTCAGCAGTATGTGGATCGAGAACTACCAGAAGTACAGGCAGGATTTCGAAGAGGCAGAGGAACTAGAGATCAAATTGCCAACATATGCTGGATCATGGAGAAAGCTAGGGAGTTCCAGAAAAACATCTACTTCTGCTTCATTGACTATGCAAAAGCCTTTGATTGTGTGGATCACAACAAAGTGTGGCAAGTTCTCAAAGAGATGGGAGTACCAGACCATCTCATTTGTCTCTTGAGAAACCTATATGCGGGTCAAGAAGCACCAGTGAGAACCGAACACGGAACCACTGATTGGTTCAAAATTGGAAAAGGAGTCCGGCAAGGCTGTATACTGTCGCCCTGCCTATTTAACTTATATGCAGAGCACATCATGAGAAAGGCAGGGCTAGATGAATCCAAAGTTGGAATTAAGATTGCCGGGAGAAATATCAACAACCTAAGATATGCAGATGATACCACTCTGATGGCAGAAAGTGAAGAGGAACTAAAGAGCCTCTTGATGCGGGTGAAGAAGGAGAGTGCAAAAGTTGGCTTGAAATTCAACATTAAGAAAACCAAAATCATGGCATCCGGCCCTCTCAATTCCTGGCAAATAGATGGGGAAGAAATGGAGGTAGTGACAGATTTTATTTTTCTGGGCTCCAAGATCACCTCAGATGGGGACTGCAGCCAAGAAAATAAAAGACGCTTGCTCCTGGGGAGGAAAGCTATGGCAAATCTAGGCAGCATTCTAAAAAGCAGAGACATCACCCTGCCAACAAAAGTGCGTATAGTCCAGGCCATGGTTTTCCCAATTGCAATGTATGGCTGTGAAAGTTGGACCATAAGAAAGGCTGAGCGCAAAAGAATTGAGGCCTTTGAACTATGGTGCTGGAGAAGACTCCTGCGAGTCCCCTGGACTGCAAGGCGCTCAAACTGGTCAGTCCTAGAAGAGATCAACCCCGACTGTTCTTTAGAAGGCCAGATCCTGAAGTTGAAACTCAAGTACTTTGGCCACCTAATGAGAAGGAAGGACTCACTGGAGAAGAGCCGAATGCTGGGAAAGATTGAGGGCAATAGAAGAAGGGGACGACAGAGAATGAGATGGCTGGATGGAGTCACTGAAGCAGTAGGTGTGAATTTAAATGGACTCCAGAAGATGGTAGAGGACAGGAAGACCTGGAGGAACGTTGTCCATGGGATCGCGATGGGTCGAACACGACTTCGCAATTAACAACAACAACCACCACTGAATATTTATGAGCAATTTCTTTAGCTTCTTGCAATATATATATTAAGAAATGTTTTTAAAATGCTTTCATTAACATTAGTTAAATGTATCTTAACAATACACCCAATTTATTGGATTATTACAATAAAAACAACATATGTTTATATCAAATCTTGCATAAATTTTATACCATGGACATATTATTAAAATATTAATTCTGTGCAGACAAATTAACAAAATGGATAAAAATGGACAACTAATCATGGAAAATTTTAAATGTGAGCGGAATATTTCTTCCACGACCCAAGTTCCAGAAATATCAAACAGCTCTTAATTCTGGGTTGACACTTAAACCCAGGAAATCTCACTAAATTTAACCATACTATTTAGCACAGTGCACATCAGCCGGGGTTGCAGGAACCAAAACTATCCTTGATAATCAGTGAAGGAAGGTTTTAAGATCCTGTCTCCAGGAGACTCATGAAGACATGGTTTCTAAAGATATGACTGTCATTTTCTTCTCACAGTTACTGGCAAAGAAATAACAATCCTGATTTAGATATCTATAGTAAGGGAAGATTTGCTAACAATCCCGATTGCAATTGGTGTTTGCAATTTCCTTCTACAGAATTGCATCTCTTTTGTGGGCTGGGAGTAATGAAAGCAAGTTTTATTATGGAGACAGATCCCTTCTATACTCCCTCAAATATTATGGCATTGTCTGCAAATGATCTTTAAAGTAAGTAATAATAGTAATAGTTTTGCTTCTCCAGTTTCTCCCTGATTTATAGATTCTAGAGAGTGTTATACAGAAGTCAAACTATTCTGCCTACTACAAAGGATCATGCTGAAATTTACCCAGTTAAGGAGTGGTAATGCAATTTTAATGAAAGAAAATATAGACACTGAGAATCCTGGACCAAAATGAAAATGTACTACAAACATTTCATAAAATAACCAAACAAACATACATACCACTTAGTGTTTTTGATCGGATAGGAGGTAATCCTTTTTTCTGTCTTTCTTTTTCCCTTTCTCTAGCTCTTCTTTCACTTGAGTATGATCTTGATGACTTCCTCTTTCTTTCTCTTGATCTAGAACGTGAGCGCTTTCTGTGTTTACGCTTTCGAGAACCAGACCGTGATCTTGACCTTCTTTTTCTTGGTGACCTATGAAACAATCAATTAAATTATGTTAATATAAAACATAACATTCATAAGACAATTCAGAAACAAAATATGGATTTTAAGCAGGAAGACAAATATCCTTGTAATAAAGTTACAAAAACCTTGAACGTGATCTTGAGCGTGTTCGTGATCTTGAAAGAACTGCTGGTTTCTTTTCTTCTTGCTCAAAGACTTCTTGTTCTACAATCTCCTGGGCTTCATCTATATCCATGTCCTAAATAGGGAGCAAGTGAGATGCCAACATATTGGAAAATATATTCATTCTTATCTATATTTGTTTATGGAGATTTTTTTTTCATATATTCCTGAATATATCAGTTTATATCTAGGAAAATCTTCTTACTCAATGTATCTCGAGGTGCCCTTATTGTCCTCATGGACAGGAGTATCCTGTTCTCCAACAAATTATATTATGACATCAAAACTAATGTTAATATTTACATTCCCAGTATATAAGCATCCGTGAGATTATAGATAGGATAGTGTTTATTTTACAATTTTGAGATCTACTGAATTCATAATTTAAATAGAAATACTAAATTTTACCTGTTGTTGAACATCCATTGAATTGTCAAGCTTTGTTTCCACTTCTAAAAACTGTTGGTGACTGCTGTCTTGTGAAGGTGATGCTGAATGCTCAGAACCAAAATTTTCTTCTTGAGTTTCCTCAGGGCTGACCTGCAGTGAAGAATGTTTATTTTTTTAGCCTCAAGCTCTGTAATACATGCCTCTGTCTACCTATCTATGTACCTACCTCTCTCTCTCCCTCTCTCTCCCTGGCTTTCAATAACTAATATGTAATTTGTTTTATGGAATACGTTTGGAATTTTGGATAATATCAACAAGCAAGCAAACAAGTGTGCAAAATTCAGTTCTTTATTTCAAACCACAGTCCTGGAACTACAGAGATCCTAAGTTCAAACAGATTGTTAGGATTAGAAGTTAAAGTGCAAATATAAACAAGTGAAGTATAAGCAAGTGTTATACTGAACAAAAAAAGGTGGGAGAAGAAGGAAAAGGAAGCTAGAATGCTGAGGGGAATTCAAGATGGCAAAAAATATATACTTTTTAAAAAAAAATTCTAAGGTAACAACACGTTGTTTCAAAAATTTAGAACTCTAAAGCCATGTGGTTAGTTTAGAAATTTAAAAAATGCAATATTTCCCAAAGTAAGAAAAATAGTATACCTTTGGTGGCTGCTGATCTAGAAGCTGCTGCCGAAGATGTTCTAAGTTTTGTTGCTGTAGTTGTTCAGCTAGCTGATGAAAAAGTGAATTGTTCACGGATTCAGATACAAGGGGCCTAAAATACATAATTTATAGTTACCCTATTGTTTTTACAGTAACTGTATAAATATATTTAGAATCCATTAAAGAATACAACAGAACTTTGTGGAACCAGAATTTGATGTTCTCTTGAAGTATAGTGGGAATAGGAAGAGACAAGACAAAAATTGATCTAATGGGGTTTTAATGGGATTCAAACATTGTAGTAGTAAATCATATTGTACTTTATGTGGTAGAGGGAACCCAACACACTGTGATTTTTAAACAACAGCTTATAGCTTAATATCTTGAATGAACTCAACTGTTGATTTAAGAAATTATGGTTTATCTTCAATCTCTCTTCCTTCTTCTCCCGTTCTCAGTGTAAGACAACAACTTAAGAATATTTTAGTAAGATTAAAATGTACTGGAAATCTCAAATAGGGGAAATCTGACCTGCTGAATTAAAAAAAAAACTAAGCATTTTTTTAAAAAAAGTGATTTCCATAACTTTTCTCCATCATCAGTTAATGTCACAAATACTCCAAAACCATTTTGCATATGTGGAAAGCCCCTGGATTTGGGTAAGCAATTAGAAGTTGGACTTAACTGCAGATTTACTTTGCAAATAAGTTCAAATTAAAATATAAAATAAGGTGTTTCCAATCACAAATTAAGACTTACAACTGAGAAGTTGGAGTTTCCTTTTTGGGCTCTTCATTCAAATCAGTTTCTTCTCCAAAATCTCCAAACCTATCTATCAGCTTCTAGGAGCAAACAAATTATGCATTAAACAAGAAAAGCATTATCTGAAATCAAAGATTCCTATTAGATATATTTTAATGTTATATATAATGTAAAAATTACATTAAAAATTGAAGAATAGCGATTCCTGGGTACATACATTTCAGTAAAAAAGGAAGCGAGTGAGGAAACCTGCTTATAAGCATAGCCACACCTAAACTCTACGCATGGACCTTGTAACAGGTCCAAGCCAACTAATCCTTACTTCACTTACAGCCTTCAGTGATTCTTTCTTTTAGCTGTTACTTACATCCACCTAGCTTTCAATGGCTAGCACCTGCCATCATTGTCAGAATACAAGCTAGCTAGTGAGGAAACCTGCTTATAAGCATAGCCACGCCTAAACTCTACGCATGGACCTTGTAACAGGTCCAGGCTGACTAATCCTTGCTTCACTTACAGCCTTCAGTGATTCTTTCTTATAGCTCTCTTACATCCACACAACCACCCACTTCCCCCCTCCCTTTAGTTCCTGAGTCATATAGGCAACGTGTGTTTCTTAAAATTAAAGGGTCCTCTGCACTATTGAGTTGATTCTTCTTCCTGTGTTCCTCAGGACGTTTCTTTCCTCCACTCCTCGGGCACGCATCGCACTCATTTGCATTCTTCAATTCTGTCACTCCTTCTGTCCCTCCTTTATTTATTAAAACCTTGGTGTTTTATTTCCTGGTGATCGCTTCCTTTTTCACATATATATATACACACACACACATATACACATATATATATATATGTATATGTGTGTGTATATATAGTGTATATATATATATAGTGTAATAAATAAATTATAACACCCGGATACCAAAATATATACAAAATATTCTTTCTAAAACAGTACCTTACGTCTCGCTTATATATCTTACCATAGATGTAAAACAAATGCATAAATATAAAATCTCAAATATTTAATTGGGATCACATTAATTGATATACATTATCTATATGTACTCCAAAGACATGACTTGCGTTACTAAAATTAAAAATTATAAGATAGGTTTTGATAAAAAGACAACCATGAAGCACGTAGAACTGCAAGTTTAGTGCCCAATAGAAAACCAAGAATTGCAAAAAGAGGACAAAAAAAAAAAATATCACGGTAATATTCGTCAACTGAGTATGAAAGAGAAAATTCATATCAGGTACTACATAAATAGAAGTATAATTATTACTACTATTATTGTATTTATTTAGCTATGGTCAAGATAATACAGAAGCATTGACAAATACAACCAAAACAGTATATCAGTCTCTTTAATTTTTGCCCCTTTGAGTCAGTTTTTTTATTTATTTATTTCTGGGAACTGCCTAGGCTAGTCCCTGCAGTTTTCTTGGCAAGATTTTGGAGTGGCTTGCCACTGCCTCCTTCCTAGGGCTGAGCGAGAGAATGCTTGACCTAAGTTCACCCAACTGTCTTTGTGCCTAAGGCGGTACTAGAACTCAGCTTCCTGGTTTCTAGCCTGGTGCTTTAATCACAACACCAAACTGGTCCTTGTATCAGTCATATACAGCAGCGGTCCACAACCTTTGCAGCTTGGTAGCTCGGCTGGGGTGGGAAAGGGGAACTGGGCTATGTGAGTGGCAGGCCGGTGAGAACAGTGTGTGCCCACCAGCCCACTGCTTCTGCAAGTTGAGCTGTGCATGCGCATGCCGGCCAGCTACTTGCACGGCCCAAATCTGAATAGGCCGCAGCCCGGTAGTGGGCTGCAGCCCAGGGTTTAGGGACCCCTGGCTTACAGCACATTAAGGTAAGACTTAAAAAAAAAAAAGATAAAACAAACAAAACATAAAACAGTACAAAATAAAAAATAAAAAAGATAAATAAATAAAATAGAAAATTTCATAACGTTACCACTCCATGATTAGAACATCTTTTATCTTCTTATGGAAACTGCTGTAGATAAGAACTCAGCAACACTACTAGTCAACAAGTTTTCAATCTGAGATTAGAAATGAACCTTTTTCCTTCATAACCAAGTTGATTTTTGTTAGGTATATAGATAAATTACCATAGAAAGGAAAATAGAGTATGACTAAGGGTCTCAGGCTCATTCAGTGAATGAAATCCCACTGTACTTCCCATCTAGTACTCTAGAGAGAAAATCTCTGAAATGAATCAAACAAAAGGTTCTACACTGTGCAGGATTTAGTATAACTGTAATCTTAGGAAAAACTACCTTGTTAAAAGAGACACTCTGTTCTAGTGGATTGAGTGTATTGGTGGCAGCAGCAGCAGCCGTAAGTTGAGCAGTGAGAGCCTGTAGCTGAACGACGAGACCAGCATCCAGTGCTTGAAGCAATGATGGTTGTGGTTTTTGTTGTTGCATCTGCAATGTCTGTATTAATTGCTGAAGCTGAAATGGAGTTGGGAAGAAGATAGTTTTGCTATAAATAAAATCTGAAATTAAGCATAAATTCTAGCACTACTTTGAAAGACAGGACAAAATATCCCAAATCAAAACTTAAATTTCAAGCACATAATTCCTAATTTTAAATTTTTAAACATTTTGTAAAATATAAGCAATCTTCAATGCAGTTACAAAAGAAACTGGCGAGTTCAGGGCAAAAAGCAGGGATATCATTTGTAGTAGAAATCAGAGGCCACATGTTGGATCACGGCTAGCAAATCTCTCCGAGGGGGGGGAGAATATATTATGTTATATATATATGTATGTATGTACTGTATGTACTGTATGTATGTATGTATGTATGTATGTATGTATGTATGTATGTTTTCTGAGGTTTTCATGGGTGTTTGTATGTAGGTCTTTGGTTATTCGGGTTTTCTCCCGCATAAAATTGGAAGCGTCTTGGTGACATTTCGACAAAGTCCCATTCGTCACCTTCAGGCTGGTGTTTTCGGCTTCATTCTCATTGCTCCTAGAAGCACAAAGCCAAAAACACCAGCCTGAAGATGACGAATGGGACTTTGTCGAAACGTCACCAAGACACTTCCAATTTTATGTGGGAGAAAACCTGAATAACCAAAGACCTACACACACACACACACACAAAACCGAGATTTTAGTGGTCAGTTTATGCTAGTAGCTTGGAGTAAAGGGATTCCAGCTAAGTTCACAGTTGAATATATCCTATAATATGGACATAATACTTAGCTGAATTTCATTTCTTAATTGCTCTTGGAATTATTTTTTTTACTGATTTTTAAATATTATTTTTCCCCAGAATGGCCAAATCTTTACTGCATTCACTGGATGAATCTTCTTCTCCATAACAAAATTAGTTTCAAGTACAAGTTTAATGATTAAGAAAAAAAAATACTTTTTGGAATTAACATCAAAAAAGTGTTTAGAGCACTCATTTTGGAAAGTTAAAAACAGACTAAAGGTCCAGATAGATTTGAAATAAGATTTTGTAATTAATTATAAGAATCCTTCCCAAGGGAAATTGTTGTTGTTTGGATTCCTTAGGAAGAAAACATGAAAAAATGGGAGTTTGAAAGCTGAAAACTAGAGAGGAGGCTAGAAGAAACTAAAAATTACAATTAAAGGACAACAAAACCTGAAGTCAACTTGTTAATTCAAAATGGAGCAAAATATTTTAACATTGGATATATAATAATAATAATAATAATAATAATAATAATAATAATAATAATAATAATAATAATAATAATAAATAATAATAATAATAATAAAGTTGGAAGGGATCTTGGAGGTCATCTAGTCCAACCCCCTGCTCAGGCAGGAAACCCTATATCATTTCGGACAGATGGCTATCCAGTCTCTTCTTAAAAACTTCGAGTGTTGGAGCATTCACCTCTTCTGGAGGCAGATTGTTCCACTGGTTAATTATTCTAACTGTCAGGAAGTTTCTCCTTAGTTCTAGGTTGCTTCTCCTTTTGGTTAGTTTCCATCCATTGCTTCTTGTCCTGCCTTCAGACACCTTGGAAAATAGATTGACTCCCTCTTCTTTGTGGCAGCCCCTGAGATATTGGAACACTGCTATCATGTCCCCCCTCGTCCTTCTCTTCATTAAACTAGAAATACCCAATTCCAGCAACCGTTCCTTATATGCTTTGGCCTCCAGTCCCCTAATCGTCTTTGTTGCTTTTCTCTGTACTCTTTCTAAAGTCTCAACATCTTTTTTACATCATGGTGACCAAAACTGGATGCAGTATTCCAAGTGTGGCCTTACCAAGGCATTGTAAAGTGGTATTAACACTTCACCTGATCTTGATTCTATCCCTCTGTTAATGCAGCCCAGCACTGTGTTGGCCTTTTTGGCAGCTGCAGCACACTGCTGTCTCATATTTGTGAACAATGGACTCAGAAGTGAATTTTAAGAATGTCTTGTTATCATAGAAAGATGTTGTATACATTTTACAGAGAGGAACAAGCTCTACTGGCAAGACTGAAATTGATTTGAATGTGGATTTTAAAATGACAAGCTATAAGAATATGGAAAAAAAATGATAAACCATATATAGAAATGAAACCCATTGAAGTATTCATGGGTTTCATGAATTTAAAAAAGATATAAAAATAACAAAGAAGATAATGATTGAAATTAACTTTTCTGCACTAGATTTACAAGAGAGAATTGTTAAGTTTGAAGGAATTTTGGAGAAGGGATGCAGAAAAAATGAAAAGAAATCAAGTTCTAAAACACTATTTGAAGGGATTAAAAATCGTTGTTAAAGTTACAGGGAAGCAATATAAAGTTGGTTTATTTGATTGGGGTTAAAATAGATACATTATTATCTCTACTAATCCTTTAATGGCCTTTTGCTGACTAGGACTGAATAAAGAGGTTTTAACATTTTGTTTACAGTTAAAATATAAGCTGGCATTTGTTGTAATTTAAGAGGTGATAAATTACTAAAATTGTTTATACTTGTGATGATGGGGAAGTTACTTATTTATATATTTCCCTTTCCTTTCTATTTTTCTTTATTTATTTTTTCCTTTTCTGCATTTTCTATTTTTCTCTTTATTCATATGTATGTATGTATGTATGTATGTATGTATGTATGTATGTATATATATGTATGTATATATATGTATGTATATTTGCATTATTTTTTATATTTTCAATGTTATTTCAATAAATTAAAATTCTGGCATAAAAGGCATTGGGACAAGTGTTTATATTCAGTATTTATTACTCATTGATATTCATGTTAGTTGCTTTAAAAACAGAAAATGCAAACATTTTAAAAATGCAAAACAAATTGAAATTAGTTTTTAACTTATAGCAATTTAAATTATATGAAGCAGAGAAGCAGAATTATATATTTCTAGGTGGATAAAGGACCAAAATGGACTTACTACCTGTTGTCCTTGTGGACTTTGAAGGATCTGTGCTACAGCAGCAAGCGTATCTGTATTAGTTATCTGAGATACCCATGGATCAGGTAAACTTTGGATTACATTGGCTGGAGTAGCAGGAGTCACTGGAGTTCCTGAAAAGAAGACAAGATACTGTTGAAAGAAGTAGTAAACAGCAAGAGATTAATCACATTTGTACTTCATCTAATCCATTCTTAGCCATAGAAAATAACTGGGTGACTTTGGAACAATCATTCTGTCTCAACTCAATCTACTTCACAGGATTTTTAGGGAAAAACAGCAGGAGTGCTTTTTAAGCACCTGAAACTCTTGAATAAGTTGTGATATAAATAAAATAAATAAATGTCTCCCATCTATTCTTTATCTGAGTCCAATTCAGCTCCTCCTTTATCAATTATTCAATGCATTAATATGAATACCACTGTAACCCACAAACTCCCCATTAGCAAGACACATTAGAACAGAAAAAAGGGCATAACATTTAGTGCAGTAAAGTACCTTGTATCTGAACTCTTAGGTGACTAGGGTGCTAGTTCAAACTACTTCCCTTCCTAAATACAGTGAGCTTATCAAGTCTAACTTTGGGTGACCAGGCAGTACTTCACAGTAAGTCCACCTACTCTTCTTGATTTGTAAACTGCAGGAGATAATAGTGAACAGAAAAGCAATAAAATATAGCAGTATTCCCAGGGTGGATCAGCACTCTACATGACCCAAAGGAGATCAAAGCCCACTTCTGAAAGGCAACTTTACCTGTTTCATAATATTTTTAAGGTAGATAGCTTTATCCCAAATTCATCTTACAAATGTCTATTACTGGTACTCCTACTATTAAAGATTACCAACATAGTCATTTTTTACACAGAATGCTGTGAAGCATGATTCTGTGTTTGCTGTGAACAACAGGACAAAGCATTATCCAAGTCATGTGTCAATTCTGGAACAGAAAGTTATTTTCTCTGATTCTCTGTTTATAGAAAACAAACTATTTACCTCTTCAGTTTGAGTTTAAAGCAGACCTTCAGAGCCCTGTGTACATCTTGTTTGAGCCATGTGCTGTCAGTTGGCAAGAATATTCTCTCCTGTGCTTGTTGGAATTTTGAATAACTTAAGAGTTCAAAATGTATATCTGCCTAGAAACATCTTGTTTTTATGGAATATGTATAGATCTTCTAACTGAGAGCTCCTATCTTCCAAGCCAAGGCTAAGTTCCATATAACAAAAGTGGGTGGAATTTGTTTAATGAGTCTGAGGAGGGTAATCATCAAGATTTGGTATCTTGTGAGGTGAGACTCGAACTGCCGAGGTGAAATTCAAACTGCCGAATTACTGGCAGTCAGTAAAAGTATCCTGCAATACTGCTTTCTAACCACTAAGTCACCACGGCTCAACAAACATAAAGTGGTTTCCTATGAGTGGAGCCCAATCATTGTTAAAACCTTCAATTTGGTGAGTCTCAACATATTGCATGATAGTATGTGCTCTGATTTCAAAATATGGGTTTGATATCAACAATTTATAACACATTATCATCATACTGTTATAAAATATTTTATATATAAAAAAGCTGTAGTATTATTTAGAGAGCATAAGCCTGTCATTTAAATTTGCGTATTTAATGTTGTAGAATATGCTGACCCCTAATGGCTAATGTGCAAAAATATTATTTTCCTGGAAAAATAAAGTTCTTAACAATGGCACTTTTAACTTGAAAATGATGTTGAATTTAATCATCTTCATTAGACATGTATGTATATGTCTTAACTCTCGACTCTTCTGGCTGATATTGAACTATAGTCTATTTTTCTGCCAATAGAAATTTCACAAGCAAATATTAACCAATTTAATTATTCAGTTCATTCAAATCCTTATAGAAAAAAATATTTTTTTCATTTCCTTCTCATAGTTATGGTACACCTAATATATTTTAAAAGATCAGAAATAAAATATAAAAAGGCTATAAAATATAAAAAATAAAGTAAGTCCCTGTCCAAAGAAACCCAGAAATCTGAATATATGTTTATTATTCACATCAGGAAAGAATACATTTTAAGGAAAAATATATACATATCAGGAAAGAACATAACTGAAAAAAGTAATGCAACAAAAATCAATTATTCTTGCAAATTTAAATCTTAAAAGATGCAACAAAAGGAAAGTTGTCATGGATGTAAAACAAAAGGATAATGTTGGGTTCTTGTTACCTGGTGTATTATTACTCAAAGTAGCAGTTGTCCCTGGCAAAACAGGAGTAACAACTGGAGGAGGAATTCCTGCTGCCATATCCAATAGAGGCTGGATAATTTCACTTTTGAACACATTATTCTTCTGCCACAAATTGAGCACTCTAACAATTTTACTCTAGGAAGGAAAGAGATGACATTTTAGACTTTATAGCATACAAATCCCTATTCCAAGTTAAACAGCCTTTAAAATAAAACTACTGAGGCTATGTTTAATATTCTTTATCATGGTTACAAGGATCAGGAATGTGTTGTGGATTTCAGTTCCCTTTTTATATTAGTACTGGAAATCATGAAGCTTCTCCAGTTTTAAGAGAATAAAAAATAGTCTATGTCAGCGAACCCCAACCTTTACGGCTTGGTGGCCTGGTGGGGGGGAGAGGGGAACTGGCCCCCTCGCACAAGTAGAGCTTAATTTTATATATATTCTATAAAAATATTATTATTGTATTACCTTACTATGAATATATTATGCAATGTTTATTATACAATACCTGTGCAGATTAAAATCAGCAGTACATCACCTGCTACAGCCAGAGTCCATTTATGCTTTTGATTTCATTATGGGGTTCAAAAATATGGCTCACATGCTATATGTTGAAGTTATAATGAGTACCAATAAACAATTACATTCTTTTCCTTCTATAATTCACTACCCAATAAAATTATGTTCCTTTCATTTGTTCTACACATCAAAAATAATACTAAAATATTGGAAAATGTTGATATAATCTTAGTTTTTCCAAAATAAACAGACATATGCCTGTATGAAGTACCAACCTTAAAATTAATTACTGAAAAGCAATGAAGTTGTATTTCTCAAGGGAAACAGAATACTGCAAGTTAATAGTAGACTAATGTGTGTTTCCGTTGAAAAGAGTGAAAATGGAAAAAATTTAAAACATACAAATGACGGTAGAAAGATAGAGAGTAGTATCTGAACTGCTGCAAAAAAAATGATTCTTTCCAAAACAAATAAAAATGTCTGGGTTAAAGAATGTGTTTATGCCAAAAGTACTTTATTATATTGGATTGAGAATTGAATATGTCAAGGAAAACATAAAAGCTGAATGTAATGGGACCGGATTCCTTAGGAAAGGTATGTGGTATAACCATAAAAAGATTATCATTCAATGATAATTCAAAGGTGAATTAATATGGATTGAATACAAAAGGCAGTGACCATTACGAAAATAAACATTGAGATGGTTTGGTCATACAGAAATAATTAATGAAACTGAAACTGCAAAATTAATATATGTTGGATAATGTTATATAGTAAAAGAAAGGTGAAGAAAGTCATGACTATAATAAATGGGGTGTTGTCTTACCTGAACGCCTTTTCTTAGCACGAAGATGGAGAATCCACCAATGGGTTTACACTGTGTTCCTGCCCAATCAGATCAAGTCAGCCAAACTTGCCACGCCTATCCTGGACTAGGGTGTCCCAGTCTCGACGAACTAACCCTAGGCCTCTGAGTCCTGCGAGGGCGGGAGTGGATTCTCCATCTCCGTGCTGAGAAAAGGCGTTCAGGTAAGAAAACGCCCCTTCTCCAGCACTGGAGATGGAGAATCCACTAATGGAACATACCAAAGCCTACTGTCCCTGAGGGAGGGGAGCAGGCCAGTCCGGTGTGGTATCTCAAGGTACGACCTGTTGGAGAACTCTCCGGTCAAAGGAGGCCTCTGCCGAGGCAAACCTATCTATCTTGTAATGACGTATAAAGGGCGATGGTGAAGACCACGTGGCCGCCCTACAGACGTCCTCAATGTGTTCACCTCCCCTGAGATGTGGTCGGCCTTGATGGAGGCAAGGTTGGTCTCTGCCCAGGAGCCCAGCAGAAGGGCCTCGGTCAAGAGTGCACAGGATCGGGTGCCTTCTTGCCGGTTCACATGAGCCTTTGCTACAATGTTGTCCGTGAGGACCAATACATGACGTTTTGCCAGCATGCTGCGGAAGTAACAGAGAGCCAGTTGTACGGCCCTGAGTTCCAGCCAGTTGATATTGTGCTGCAGGTCGGAGCGGAACCATCGGCCTTGGACCCACTGTGAGCGAAGATGCGCTCCCCAGCCGAACAGGCTGGCGTCGGTCGTAAGGGTGAGGCGATTGGGTTCTTTGAAGTAGGATCCCTTGAGCATGGCCGGCGAGAGCCACCACTGGAGGGAACGCGATACTTGAATCGGGACTCTCACCCTTCGTTTGGATGAACTGATGTTCAGTCTCTGGAGGGGGAGGAGGAACCACTGGAGGATCCTGGAATGGAGCCTGGCCCAGGGTACGATTGCTATGGCCGAAATCATCTTCCCTACCAAACGGGAAAGGCTGGCCAACATTACTGTTTGACTTCTACATGTCTGAAGAACTAAGTCCCGTATGCTGTCCTGGCGTTCCTGGGACAGATAGACCCAGCATTCCACCGTGTTTATGATGGCCCCTAGGTGCAGCAGCCTGGTTGTGGGAACCATATGGCTTTTTGAAAATTTTAGTGAGAACCCGTGACTTTGTAGTAGTCCTGTCACCAAGTCAAGGTCCGCCTGAGCGGCCTGGGACGACGATAACTGGATTAGGATGTCGTCCAGCCGCAACTCTCAACAGAAAGAAAAAGCAAGTTAGAGAACAGAGGGCCAAAATGATAAAGGCGGCCCTCTGTAAACGTGCATAGGCTACTAGCAGCCGCCTTGAGCCTGTGCGTGCGTCTGGACGCCGGGGAAGCAGCCACAAGCCCCAGTAAACCAAGAAGCCCCTTGCGATGATGAGCTCCCAAACGCGCATTGGCTCCAAACGGCCGTCTGTGGCCTGCACACGCATTCGGGCACTGGAGCTGCAGCCGCAAGCTCCAGCCAGGAAGAAAGGCTTGGAATGAAGTAACCGGCTTTCCGAATACATGCCAGTTGCGAACAGCCGTTTTTGGCCTTTGTGCGTATCCGGTGGCTTGGCCAGGTGATGGGAGACTGTGTGAGGGCTGAGGGACAGTGCTGATCCCAGTGCTGCCCAAGGGGGGAAGGTGGGCTGTGTTGCAGAGGGGAACAGCCTCAGCCTCAAGACTTTATGGATGGGGGGGGGGGAGGAACAAAAACCTCCGTTCCTACTGAGAGGCAAGTAGTTGAGGTGGGGAATAAACTGATTTTTTAGTCAATTGATAGGGAAAAACAGTGCTGAATACAGCACTGCTCAGAAGACTGAGGAGAATAAAAGAATCCACCAATGAAAACTGTACCTGCCTAAGAGTCAACTTGCTACGTCTGTCCTGGGCAAGATCAAGTTGAGATTGGGACACCCTAGTCCAGGATAGGCATGGCAAGTTTGGTTGACTTGATCTGATTGGGCAGGAACACAGTCTAAACCCATTGGTGGATTCTCCATCTCCAGTGCTGGAGAATGATGTGTTCTTAAGAGAGAAATGAGAACTTTTTAAAAATGAAAAGCAATATATGAAACATGACAAAGTACAGCAGGGCAGAATGATATTGACAAACATAGTGAATGGTTTAGCTACATCTACCTTTCTTTTTGTTTTTAATCTCACAGGGGGTGGTGGTTATTGCTGTTGGGGTTTTTTTTTTTTTTTGGTTTATTATTTCCTGTCCTTTTTCAGTACTCTGCATAACGATGTTTACCCCAAAAGGGAATACAGTGAGAGTATGTGCAGTATTTTCTTCCCAACTCACAAACAGTATTATCTATTACTCAGGAACATTGTCAAGTAAAAGAAACATGCATAAAATTTTTGTAAAAATTATATATTTAACATAAATTGTACATTAATAAATTGTTTATTGGGGAAAGAGTGAAATGTAGAAGAATCCATACCTTATCATCCCCAGGGCAACGATATAAATTCTGGAAAGTGCTAATGATGTTATTGCTAAACCGAGGAGCAAAGACATCCTTTTCTTGTCCAAACTGATGTCGAGACTGCCGTACAATCGAGTCAATGACATATAAGCCAGGCACCTTGTATTCTGGTTTACACTACATAGAAATACAATAATATTTAAAGGTTAAAGGTCTGCTGGAATTAAAAGAAGGACAGAGAGAAATATTGAGTAAGGAAATAACAGCTATGGAATTAAGAAACGCAGTGCAAAAACAAAAAAATAATAAAGCCCCAGGGCCAGATGGTCTACCAGGGGAAGTGTATAAGACTCTCTATGAAGATCTGGAAACAACATTATTAGATGTATACAATGATGTGTTGGAGAAAGCCAAATGACCAGACTCCTGGATAGAAGCAAATATAACTCTTATTCCAAAAGAAGGTACCGACCCCAAACAGATAAAAAATTATAGGCCAATCTCGTTGTTGAATTCAGATTATAAAATTTTTACAACTATAATTGCGGAACGACTAAAATCAATATTAAATCAAATAATACATTCGGATCAAAATGGTTTTTTACCTACAAGACAAATTAGGAACAACACGAGAACGGTGTTAAATGTCCTAGAATACTATGAAGCACACTCAGAAAAACAGGTAGCATTAATATTTTTAGACGCCCAGAAAGCATTTGACAACCTTAATTGGCAGTTTATGTTCCAACAGATAGAAGATATGAAATTTGGAGGGAAGTTTGAGAAAATGATAAGGGCAATATATAAGATACAAAAGGCTAGAATGATAATTAATGGGGATAACAGAGAAATTTGAAATAAATAAAGGAGTAAGACAATGGATGCCCAATGTCACCTCTACTTTATTTTAACGTTAGAAGTGCTACTAACCCAAATTAGAATCAATAAAGAGATAAAAGGATTAAAGTTTAAAACAGAAGAATATAAGACTCAGGCATTTGCAGACGATTTGGTGTTTTTTTATAGAGGAACCACTAGAGAGAGGAAATATCCTAATGAATGAATTAGAAAAATATGGGAAAGTGGCAGGATTAAAAATTAATAAAAAAAGACTAAAATGTTAGTAAAAAATTTAACTGAAAAACAAAAAAGGAAATTAGAAGAAAATTTGGGATTGCAAATTGTAAAAAAGATTAAATAATTAGGAATTTGGCTTACTATAAGATGTTCTTCAATAAAAGAAGATAATTATAAAAAATGATATTACAAATGAAAAAAGATCTAGAGATTTGAGGAAAATTACAATTATCATTGTTAGGAAGGATTTCTGTGATCAAAATGAATATTCTACCAAAAGTATTATATTTATTTCAGACAGCCCCAATAAAATTAGAGAAATTTTTTTTTGAGAATTAAACAAAATGATCAATAAATTTATATGGTTAGGTAAAAAAGCAAGAATAAATGTTAAAGTGTTACAGGATAGTAGAAGTAGAGGTGGTCTTGGGCTTCCAAAATGGGAAACTTATTACCAAGCAGCGGGGTTACTTTGGATTAAGGATTGGATAAATTTAGATAATAAAAGGGTTTTAACAATCGAAGGACATGAATTACAGGCTGGTTGGCATGCCTTTCTATGAGGAAAATACAAGAAGTCACACATATACTTTTACCGGCACCAGATAAGAGATGCCCTGATTTGGACGTGGGAAAAGGTTCAAAAGAAATATTACATGAAAATACCAAATTGGGCCTCAGTGATGGAGGCAATGATCCATCCAAACACACTGGACAAAAAAAAGATGACAAGATACAAAGAATTATTAGATAATCAAGGAAATCTCAGATCGAGGGAGGAATTAAAAGAACAGGGAATAATTATTGATTGGTGGCCATACTTACAGATACAATCAAAATATAGCAAAGGTATGGAAGAATATGGAATAAATCAGGTATCACAGCAATTGGATAAAATATTGACAGGCAAGGAAGATATTTTTTTAACAAAAACCTACAAACATTTACTAGAGGTAGAATTGGAAGAAAAAATAGTAAAAGGTCCAATGATAGCATGGGCACGAAATATAGAATTAGAAGAATGGGAAAGAGTATGGAACAAAATTTGCAAATTAAGACTGTCAACTGCATATAAATAAAATCAATATAAAATGTTCTATAGATGGCATTTAACACCGGTGAGATTGGCTAAGATATACAAAAACATGAATCCGGACTGTTGGAAGTGCAAAAACAAAGAGGGAACATTTTATCACACGTGGTGGCAATGCCCCAAAGCAAAGATTTATTGGGAGCAGATAAGGAGATGGATACAGGAAATAACAAAAGAACGAATTGAACTCAAACCAGAATTATTCTTATTACGTATAATTAATCCAAAGCTGAAAAAACAACTTCAATACATCATTGTACACATAATAACAGCGGCACACACTGCATATGCACGATGTTGGAAATGTGAAAATATACCAACAAATGACATGATTATTCACAAGATACTAGAATGCGCTGAGATGTACAAACTTACTCTAGAGATAAAAGACAAGAAAGCAACAGAATTTTATGAGATATGGGACAAGTGTTACAATTGGTTAGAACTGAGAAATAAAAAAGCATGAGAAGCAATGTACATAATTGTAAATATATGTAAGAGATATAGGACACAACACTGTTAAGGAAAAATGTATTTTGTATTTTGTTTTTATAAAGTGAAAAAGGAAAAATAAAAATTAAAAAAAATACAATAAGAATATAAATTTCCTATAAGATTTATTAGCTAGCAAATCTGTAGAAACTATGAATGCTCTTTTTTACAGTATGGTATTGTTTTATATTAAAATGTGCCATTCATATAGTATGCTATAATCATTTGTAACATTTTCTTGTTGGATAATTTCAATTATTTAAATTTCATTTATATAAAGGTAATAATAGTAGATAATTTTAGGGAAATGTACCTTCATTTTGATGTTAACAGGTGGAATATTCTAAGTTTTTTGAACTATTTAGATAATAACACAGCTAGTACTGGGGAACACTGCAATTTCTCAGAGGCATGACTTTACTAAGATGTACTCTATGCAGCAGTTATGCCACCAGCTGGTATTATGGGGAGGGTAAAATTAAGATAAAACTCAATACCAGAGGGGAGGCTTTTCCCCTGGGAGAGGTGAAACATTGTGATGTTCCCCTTGTCAACTCATTCTTATCAGTTTAAAGCTCAAGCATTAAAAGTGAAAGTCAAGAGTCCACAGCAGAAAGGGGTGGAACCTAGTATGGTAATGTTCACTGTCACTCACAGAGATCTATTGTATGGGAGCATTTCAAATTTGCATATGACCTATGATATGCTAATTGCACCTCTACTCACTAGAAGTAAGTCCCCCTGCAACTGATACTTTAGCTTGGACACTCTGTGTTTTTGGATCAGTGTGCACCATAATTTACCCTCAGACAAATTATCTAATATTATTATTAAAGAAGATACGTCAATATTTGGCAGAAGTAACTTAACCTTAAAGTTAACTTAATCAGACTCTATATCATCTATGAAGGTATGGAAACAAAAAGACAAATTAGAAAATGATTGCTGGATACCAATTTTATATAAGGTCAATTCATAAAAGTCCTTCTGGAACTGAGATCATACCTTTGTGTAATGGGAATAACTGAAACTGTACAATATGTATTGACAAGTAGGGCCAATATCAAAAATCACACCATCATGTGTAGTTTGTTAGTATTAACTGTGTTGCTCACAATTTGCTCACATAGAATGACACTCGGTTGGACAGTACAAGCAACAAGACTATTGTCTCCAGGCATGGACATTGCCACCTATGCTTTTTAAAAAAATGCAGTAAGACTACTAGGCAATCTCCTATGGACAATAAATATCAAGCCAATGCCAGGCTGAGGTTAATCTATTCAGATTCCTCTGAATGTTCTCATTCTATGGAACATCGTTTAGTTATTGTTCAAGTAGGTAGATGGTCTGCAAATGACATGGCAAGATGCTCAAATATGTGTTCTCAACCTCTGGCAGAACTGTTATTTAGTGCTGAGACAGCCATCTGAGGCAATCTGTGCTCTTATTTTGTTACTCTCAAAATATATGGGTAAATACCAAAGGAAGTTGAACTTTTATTAAACTGAATTCAAATAATATCCATACAATAGATAAAACCCTTTATCATAAGCAAACAGTTATGCATTCTAGTTTTGTGATCTAAGGGACTCACTGACTGGAAAGCAATCCATGTAAAGAAAGCAATAGTGGACTGAATCATAATGGACTTTTGTTCTGACTTCCAAACAAGAAATAACTTTTATTTGATCTTTGCCCTTACAAACCGCTCCACAGAGGAAAAATACCTACTGTACTCCATCAGATTGTAAATTGTGATAATATATCCATAATAATATAACATTAATATCTTTAATACATTTATCTATATTTAAATATCTAGATTCATGAGTATATAAATTACTAAAATATGTTTTGTTTAGTGACTTACCTTTTGAATGAATTTCTCAACACTCTGCACAACATGTTTGTAGAACTAAAAATAAATATATATAATTTGTTCAATAGGTTTATTTATTTATTTATTCATTAAACAAATTTATATAGCTTTCCAACTCTGGGAGTTTACTCTGGGCGGCTTGCAACATTTGTATAGGTTCCATTATATACCATCTTCTTGTTTTAGCAATTTTCTGATTAACGTACTTTATTTAAAAGCCCCAAATAATTAGAGCCACAACGAGGCATGCAATTGTTAATATTTAACATGTTTTCAGACAAGTTTATTTTATGCAGAATTAAGAAAATATCCCAATAAATATAAAAAAGTATAAATATTTAGAGGTTCCACATATTAAATGTTAATCAGTATTGAAGTTTTTTTTAAAGGGAAATTGAGATAATGAGCAGGATACCCAGGCATTGCACTGTACTAACAAACTACCTGGACCACATAAAGCTAAGAGGTATTTGTAAACTGTATAATCATTTTCTTACCTTTATGGCCTTGATTGCTGCTTTAGTAATCTGTGTCATTTTAGCCTTTGAAATAGGAGGCTTGTAATCATTCAGTGAGTAAAGCTGAAAGAAAAGAGATGACTGTGAATATAAATGGAAAAAACACTTAAAATTTATGTAAGAACATTAGATCCTCTAGTATTTCATCAGATCAAAACTGAGCTTTAATTTATTGCAATCAATCATGTCTATAATTGATTCCAGGTGTGATCTGGCACTTTCATGAAACCCTGGATGGTCTTGCACTGAGACAACAGTATGGATCTCCAATACAAAAATAGTAGCATTCTCCAGCTTCTGAAGTAGAGCTATAGAATCTGTTAGTTAAGTTTAAAACTGAAAAAAAAGTAGGAGCTTACCCCTTACCTTAACTCTATCCTTTAAAAGAGACTGGTTTGGATAGAAGCAAGGCTAGCAAAATTTTTGTTGAAACCAAACTTAAAAGTCAAATGTGTAACAGTGAATCAAGGAATCCTTTTCATTTTCACCACATTAGGGACCACATTGCAGTAAAGCCTGAAATCACTGTTCATCTAGATACATTACAAGGTGTTAACAATTATTACAGCTCCCCTTTCTTCTTTTTCTTTTATTCCCCTCTGGGTTAGTTGTCTCTGCCATTTTTGCTTTTGTTTTATGTTGCTTTATTTTATTTATTTTTTACCATTTTGAAAACTGTCCAAAGTTAGGCAACATATACATTTAATTTAATTTAATTTAATTTAATACAATACAATACAATAAATTTGCATAACACCACTAAAAAGTGTTGTGGTAAGGCTTGGTGTAAGCAAGGTACAAATTTAGATGAAATTATTATAACCATTATCTCAATCTACAATTCATCATTGATTTACTTACAGCACAACTTAGCATGACATTCATACATCAGGAAAAAGTTTACCATGTATTTTAAAGAAAGGAAAATCAGAAATGATGGTCAGCCACCATAAAGATGATTATGATACTGTCCAAACTGGAGAGTTATCAAATATTATCATGATCAACAGCTGATCATAATTGGATGTGCTACCTGAAGCTTAACAGATGAAGAAGATTTACTGATGCATAGCAAGGAGCCAGTCTCACTCTTTCATTGAAACCAGTATTTGCCAGCCAGTTTGCTTCTTGAGATTTTCACTCTAATGCCCTTTCTATCTGAGTTTCACAGTACCTGGGTGTGAGTATTCCCCTATGAAAAGGTTCTATCTAGTCAAGTGTTTTATTGCCACTATGTATTCTTGAATGGAAAGATGCCACCTCATTGGGGGATGGAATAGGAAAATTCAGAGCACAATCAGAAACTCACAAATTCACATATTTAAGATGTTAAATAACTAGACCAAGTTTTCCCATGTCCAATGAAGTTTAAATAAAAGAAGACCATATGTACTATTCTTAAAAACAGGAAATATTCTAGACAAAACTCCTGAGCACACCAACACAGGTTTCATATATTCTTACACTGTTCAATGTTATCCACTTTTCCTAGTCCATAGATGAGCAATATAACATCTCTGGCACCATAGTACCCAGCATCCCTAAATATCACCAATGAAACAATAATTAAGCCAAATTGCCCAAGCTTTCAGGGCTTTTGCATGAGAGCTTGCATATACACTTGGAGGGGGAAAATCTCAGCTCTTTACAAGCCTCAAGGAGATCTGCTCGTTAAAATGATTGCCAATCCTTATCTTACTTCCTATTCCATTTAAATACAATAGTATTATGTATCTAAATCTAAGTGCTATTTCCCACTCTGAAGATCCAATATTTTTCATGTATTAAAAATACTGAAAAACTATTTCTGATTTATGCAAATCCCAAAGCAAATGGATTATAACAATAGAAATTTATAAAATAATAAACTCAGTGGCTGCAAATACTAATATTAGTCTGGAAAAAATGTTTGTACAATAGTTGAATCACAGCTATAAATTCAATCAACCTGCCTCAAAGAGCAATATTAAAATTAATAATTAGTGGTAATTATAAACTTGTGGATCTAGTGAGAGTTTTTCTCCCATATAAAAGTCATCTCCTCTTACTCCTGCCAACTGACTTCAAATAAAGTGTAATGGGCAAGCATTACAATCATATCCTCAAGGTTGTAAAAAATGAAATAGATTCTATACAACTCTCCTAGATTATATTAAATATTTTAATTAAAATTGAAACAAAATTATGTAGAACAACACATTTCAAAATGTTGTGCACATTTGTTGCAGAAAGCACTTGAGAGTTGCAAGATGTTTTCCAGAGTAGATGACAACAAAAGCTGTACTGGACAAAAACACTGAACATATACTAAGAAAGCAAAAGAACATTTCTTTGCTACACTGACCCTTGTCGGAGTGGATAACTGTGAACCCTTGCTATTTGCTTGATTTTTCTATGCCAGGGATGTCAAACTACCAGCCCCTGGGCCGGATGCATCATAGCGAAACACGCCCACCCCACTGCTAGCAATGGCAAAAAAGTTGAGATATGTCGTGACATGTCACGTGACGTTGCAAGTTTGACATCCCTGTTCTATGCAGAGGAAGCAAACACCTTCACAAAAAGATTACTGCAAACTACCCTAACTCCAGATAAACTTTACTGAGAACTGAATTTGACACTATTCCTATTTGACTCTGCCACATGAAATAGAAAAGTTTGAAGTTTAACAATCTAACTCCAAATCAGCTAAGCTCCACCTTCAACAATATCCATTTTTTCATAAAATTTAGCATAGGGAACCATTGTTAAGGTATGATATACAACTTACTCTATCAAGAAAAGTAACACAAGGCAAGTATCAAAGCCCCACACAGCTTTTGTTATTGAACATTTTGTCAAGTTTACAATGAACTCAATAAACTTCATCCATTGTCATCCTTCCACTTTGACATAAGAGTGAGGCCAAAAGAATCTGATCCTGCTACATATTGCCTATAGTACCCCTCAAAGGTCCAAATGCTAACTAGCCCAGGGAATATTGATTCTTCTAGTTTACTCACAATATAGTGTCTTCATGACAACACACCCCCTTCTTAGTGAAAATAAAAAGCTAATAATATCTTTACTACTGCAAACTGTACTATACATCTGTAAAATAAGCCTGGATTTTAAAGCATTTGTTTGGAAGGATGAGTAAATGCTTCTTTTAGGATTTCCGGAAGTCAGAAAAACAAATCTGCAGCAAATTCATCTTTGAAAAACAATGGCAGGTGGATATTCTCAGCTATACTAGATAACAAGGCCAAATCAAGGAGAAACCCATTGTGAAAAAGTAGGCAAATACTGGCCAAGTGACAAAATATGTTCCAAAACTCTGCTTAGTCAGACATTATTTAATACTCAGAGAAACAAGTATTCAGATACTTGTATTTTTATGGTATTCTGCTATTCAGCCATTAAACAAAAATCAGACCTCTCAATTTAAGTGGATCTTACTACAAATTCCATGTTAGATTCATATAGCTGTTTCCTTCAGTACAGGGTTGTCAAACCTGCCGCATCACATGATGTGTCGCGATGTATAGTGACTTTTTTCACCTTGCCAGAGCTGGGGTGAGTGCGGCTTCCATGTGACACATCCGGCCCGTGGGCCAATAGTTTGACACCCCTGCTTTAATTTATAAAGATTTAGGGTAACAGTAACCATTACATATTGTGTTAAAAGTATTTTGCAATACTGTATAGGAAAAGGAGTATATAGATTTCATTGTACTGGATTATATATATTTTATTGCAGATGATTAATTACAACTAATTTGAAACAAAATAAAAATCTCAAAATAATTTATAAATTATCTTTAGCGGCCATTTACTCTTAATTTTCTTTCAATAACATTTATCTACATGCTGTCTACTCACTCTTTTTAATTTTCTAGCTTCTCTACCTTCATTTTTGTTCTAAAGTGAATGGCTAAGCAATGAAATTGTGTTGCTTTCAGTACTGACTGTAGGAGATGAGGGTGCTTATCATTTTCTTTTATAGCAAAATCTGCTCTATTTGCTAATTTTGCATAAAATAACTTAAAAATATGAAAGGATTTTTCTTCTTTTACCTCTGTAGCCGTCTTCCCAATTCCTAATATACAATGAAGAATCAAGAGACACCAATTCATTAAAAAATCCCCACTATCATTAATATTAAAATCTACAGAAACAGCAGCAAAATATTCAAACCAAAGATACTGCTTTTCAAAAAGCCTGATTTTTTTTTTATACTGCTGAAATTTGACCAATCCAATTTTAAAGTTATGGTTTGTAGATTTGGCATAATTATTACACAATATCTTATCTTCTCTCAAACCAGAAAAAAGATGAGTCATGGTTTCCCAGATCAATGTACTGACAATGAAAAATATTATGTTCTCATTCATATATCTAAAAGAATATTAAAACATGATTTTGAAAATCAAACTGCAAAAGCAATTCCCCTAAACAAAATATATGAATTCAAAATTATAGTTTCCAAGCAGAAATTATTCTTTAAACTTTATTTTGAAGGCTAATTTTATTTTAAGAATATGTATGTATTGAGAGAAAAGAAAAGGATTATAGTAGATACTTTAGACAAAGGAAGAGAGATATTAAACTACAAATTGCATTTAAAGGGAATTCTCTTCATTTAGATTAAACATCCATTTAATCCAGTATACTGTTCCAAAAGTAAACACATTAATAGTTCACCTTGTGGTTCTTTCCGCATTATGTTTCATCTGATATAGGTCTATTCTATAAAAATGTAAGCCTGCCTGCGTTATGTTTTTTGAATTACAGAAATATTTTATTTTGTAATAATATATCTGGTATGGTGGGAAAAAGCAAGTTACTTGATTCCTGTATGGGATATTCTTAGAGACATGATCTATCAATTTATGTAATTATATAAATTGCCATTTAATAGCAATGAACACCTGAAAATATATCATCAAATCATAATGTGCTGTTATTCTTTGCATGTTCTGTCTTTGTTCTAAATACTTTACAAGTAGCAGACTTCCAATAGACTGATACACAAATTCTGTCACAACAGTATACAAAAAAATTATAGAGAATATTTAAAACAA